CTGTCAATATAATATTTTAATTATGATATAAATATATATTCGTTTTTGCTATTATATAGGATACTTCGATTCACTTGTACTTGAAAGTGCCCACACTTTGGCATGTTGACAATGTTCCCTTTTGAAGGCAATGTAATATTATCTGTTTGTATTCAGTGGTAGTTGGTAAATGGTAACTAGAAGCAGTGATATGGGGCTGAGAAGTTGAGCAACTGCAGAGAAAGCTGTGAGCTTGATTTTTCTGGGTTGCCGTAATTCATGTTTCACTTAAAAACTTACACTGAACTATTCTACTAACTAAATGCTAAACCAAACAAATTTTATGTACAAATGTAACACCAAACATTTATCGGGCCCTAGAAAATTAGAACAAATGATGCAGGACGAAACTTATGGTATAGAATCAAATGAGCATTGATAGGAACAATATTTTAACATGGCAACCCGTGGCGTAAATGTCATTTTTTGCGCTAAAATGACAGAATTAGATCGATTTTGTTTTGGCACAGTTAAAATAAATATTAACTTTAATATTAATAAATATTCTTTATATGCAAGGCATAAATACTCTATTAGATAAAACTTCTCTATGGACAGGTACTAGTTATTTATTTATTGCTAATCTTTGTACATAGATATCGTGTCATATAAAATTGATTTTATATAATATTTCGATATATATTTTTGTAAATATTTTATACTACATTTAACGGAATGCACATTATGGATTGTACATAATTATATTGGTACCTAGTAGCGCCTAATTTGAATCTCCTGAAATTCCTGTAGAATCAGGGACTTAGGTTATACATAATAAGGCGCAAAATAATCGTTAAAATTGCCCATGCCAAAACAAAATGCTTTAGTCGACAGCGTGAGACCAATGTCGTTGCGACAGAGCGTTTATTTGTTACTATTTTTATTACTTCATTTACACAATATAAATTTAAATTGTTACAATTATTTACCTCACAGCCATCATTATATATTGATACTACGTTAATAAAGAGAGGACTAGTGTGTAACAACACGATAAGATGGCAACCAGCTTACAAAAAGGGTCTAGCGAACATTCGTAATATAGAGCGTTAAAGATTTATATATATACGTATATATTACATGAAAAATTCATCTTTCCGTTCTAAAAATTTTAACAACCTCAAGCTAATAGCAATAGTCAACAATGTTGTTAATTCTAGGACTTTTAATGCACACAGAACATGGATAACTAGTTGCGAAAAGGCGTTTTAAGTGGTAATAGTATGGCGGTTTGTTCTTTGATAGGTTTTGCGCGGTGAGAAAGGGGCGTGGTCTAGTGCGTAGCCAATCATAAGCTCACGTAAGGTCTGTATTACACCAAGCCGGCGAGGAGATGAGAGGTGACGAGATGTGTAAGCAACCAACAGAATTTCGTTATTTATGTCACCGTAAAATTGTGAATTCCGTCAGATTATAATCTGACGTAGTTAAATTACAATCTAACATTTTTTTTTGCGGGGAAAAAATGCGTAACCTAACCCACTGTTAGTTTACAATCTAACGCGTTATTATTATAAACTGACAGAGTTCACAATTTCACGTTGACATTTACACGTTTCGTCTCCGCTTAGCTTCAGTGGAAATGGAGCGGAGAAGAGATGTGTGGTATTTCCATCGTAATATGTCGCACTGAGCGCAACAAAGCGGAACAAAAACGAGAAGTTCTCTCAGAAAACGAAGAAGTCTACACATTTCTGCTCCGCTAGGCGTAAAAATCGTCGTTTCTGCAAATCACGCCTCGTCTCCGCTTCAGTGGAAAACACCCCTGACGCTCCTTCCCCCCGCGTAATACCTCAGGAGAGATCGTAAACAGTTTTGTTCGTTCTAATCGACCTAGTGCGTGCACGCCTTAAGTGCTGCGAGAGTTAAATCGTTGAATAGAGAGTTCAGGAACTGAGATACCATGAACTGTTCGCGGGGACGATAAACCACTGGGTCACGGTTTTTAACATCGGTATCGGTTATGAATATCGGTCACCGTTACATTCTAGTTCGAAGTTCAATGGTAATTTTGAAACTATACAGTTTTATTTTGTACTAGCGGCCGCCCGCGACTTCGTGCGCGTGGATCTCGTTTTACCCCCCCTTCATCTGTCTTACGCGGTTCAGATTTTTTCATACAAATGTTTTTTCCCGCTAACTCCCGTGCCCGTGGGAATTTTGCAATATCCTGTTGCAACTAAGCTTTAAGTTTACTAAGGTACCTGCATGCCAAATTTCAAGAGTATGTCTTACGCGGTTTAGATTTTTTCATACAAATGTTTTTTCCCACTAACTCCCGTTACCATGGGAATTTTGCACTATCCTGTTGTAACTAAGCTTTAAGTTTACTAAGGTACCTGCATGCCAAATTTCAAGCGTCTAATTTAAGCAGTTTAGATTTTTCGTACAAAAGGATTTTCCCGCTAATTCCCGTTCCCGTGGGAACTCCTAAGTATCCTATAACCTGCCCAGGAGTATGAAGAATAATTGTACCAAGTTTCGTTAAAATCCGTCAAGTGGTTTTTGTTTCTATAAGGAACATACAGACAGACAGACAGACAGACAGACAGACAGACAGACAGACAGACAAAAATTTTACTGATTGCATTTTTGGCATCAGTATCGATCACTAATCACCCCCTGATAGTTATTTTGAAAATATATTTCATGTACAGAATTGACCTCTCTACAGATTTATTATAAGTATAGATTACTATTTGAATAAAATCGAGAATTGTTAGTTGGTTTGAATAACAAGAGTTACAGAGTCGAAATGATTTTAGTATGATAATATTTATATAAAATTTATTACATACAATGCACAAAGCAGTGCTTCTAGTACCTCGACGTATTAGCTAATGTATTTTCATATGTTTGCCTATATACAATCGCCGGCATTTCGCCGCAATATGACGTATTTTCCCAATTGATTTTCAACCTTATACTAAAGGCACAAAGTTCAAAATTAATCGGGGAAATTTTACATTTTGCGAGAGGTTACTGCTGGCAATTGCTGTAATATTTCCCTTTTCAAAGTCTATTTATTTACTTAATATTAAATCACGTCATTGTATCAAGACGTCCGCTACCCAGTGGCGAGTATAACATTAATCATTAGTTAACATTTAAATAAACGTGTGGAAGTCTGTAAAAATGTTCCGCTTTACGTACTAATGTGTCTCTGGTCTAACAATACGTCCGTGCAATGTTCCAAGCCACAGCGTTCTGTCTCTGTCTGACTCTACACGAGTGCAGCGACAGAAGATTGTACGTTTGAATCAGTGCAGTGTTGCGTGTAAAGAAAATAAACCGTTTTTAAAACTATTTTCTCGGATCTAGGCACCCTAGCAACGAGTACCTACACATGCATACATACACAATGCACAAACAAAAGTACTTCATACCACAAGCAAACACGCCGAAGGACTCTGCTATATTCTCTCTCGTTAAGGCGATTATACACATTTAAACACTATTTAAATTGCACACTGACCCACCTCTATAAACTTTTAATTGCGATAAATATTTTGTAATGCTGTATAAAAATATTAAAGGAAAAATCGTCATTTAATATTAATCTTATTTAACATTCATAATTAATCCAAATTAATAGCGATTATATTACATTTTTACAATGAGATGTCCGACCTCTATACCTAACTAGCATACAGTGACAAAGCCTAATTCACAACAAACTACACACGATAGTATTGAATATAAACTTTTAATGTAGCCGTAGCCTCTATTTAATGCAAAGGAGACTTTGAAAAATCTTATGTAACATACAAAATTACATACTATTTACAACATTCTAGCTAAAAATTTAAAAAATCGAGTGTCGACAGCATTCGCAATCACTGCGGTACGCTAATAGGTATGTCAGGTACATACCTACACGTAAAATTGTGAATTCCGTCAGATTATAATCTGACGTAGTTAAATTACAATCTAACCTAACCTAACCCACTGTTAGTTTACAATCTAACGCGTTATATTATAAACTGACAGAGTTCACAATTTCACGTTGACGTACCTACGGCTATCGGCCGCATGCACGCTACTAGCGACAACTACGGGTGCGGCCAAAGGTGGTCAACTCCTACGTCAAGCCTACGGGCGCACCCGGCCGAATAAGCCTAGTGAGATCCGTACATTTAAATAGATTCTTTAAATACTTTGGACAGACCGATTAGTTCGATTATAATTACATAAATTTAACTATCGTGCACAACCATCTCAAAATTTTACAATTTCGTTACATCCAGTGTAAGTGTTGCTATGCAATAATATTTTTTTGTTCGAACTTTAATTAAACTATATACCTAAACTTCCGTACATAACTGCAATCTTGCTTACGATAACTAAGATTTATATTTTTTTAGTTTTTTCTTTGTTTTGCGAATTAACATTAGATACACTCAAGAACAACAACTAAAATTAATTTAATAACATATTTAATTTAGACTTTAGAATATTTTTTGCGTAGTACTTGTTATTTTAATATCGTAAAGCATTACCCACTAAACAAGGAGCCAAGTTGTATTGTATTGTGCCGCTTCTCTTTACATACTAACAAGCATCTACCAGCGATGCGTGACCTTATGATTAAATAAGTGTTATCATAAGAACGTGCTTAAAACTTGAGATAAGTATAAATATACGTAAGAGCAGTTTTGGCACAGTGATCAATTGAACACCGAGTGTAGTGGGTAGATGGAGGTACTTTTTGAGGGTACTTCTAACTGGTAGGATTATTTTTAATATTACTCTTGGCGGGAGGGGGTAATGGTTGGTATCATTAGCCCACTATTAAGTAATCACTTGAGTAATCGAGCAAGTGCAGTTAAGCTTGGATTCAACAAAATTACAGGACTGTACGACAATCCACAAGGGAGATACCATTCATATAATTCATAATTTCCACATACAATATTCTTTTTTTTTCACAGTTTCCTTTGTACTTCGTATTTATTTATTGGGTGTTATTGTATTATGGATTTATGATACAAAAATATGGCAGTATGTTTGCTTCAATTCCTTTACAAACTACGGGTCTGCGATGCTTCGATCGTATAGGACACACCAATTTATTTAATTTAACCTAGTAAAAGGCCGGCTTTGCCTAATCTATCTGAAGGGTGAATGACTAATGACGTGACAAGGGAACTATTATATACAGGATGTTTGATAAATTTAAATGTTATAAGTTGCTCTTTCTAAGTCTATCAGTTAAATTGAGGTATTCATGTATTTATTAGGTACATTTGGTGCTATATTGCGTGCAAGATTGACTTACAGCAGTGGGCCAATCTCGTCTTATTATCACATACTACACCAGTTTGTTCATCAAACATCTTGTAATTCGAATTATTAATAATTATTGCGTTATTTTCTCGTAATGGTGTTGCGGTATGAGCTTCTAATACTCGTGAGGCGAATGTATAACTAATCTAGTAAATTCTAAAAAGGACCTTCGACCAACTGCACTAGAGTCGTGATTGAACTGGAACTGGAGTCGCGGTGATGCAGTCGATCAAAAGTGACTTATCTAATACAATTAACATAGTAAACTATGAAGAGTCCACAATCGTCAAAGCACCCGGAGTTAACCACTAAGTACATTGCAGGCTTCAAAAGCCCTATTTTAATTATAATAACGACGTTTCGAAAATAATCACACATTACAGCAATATTAATTACACTTTGCACTCGGTGTCCACGCAAAAAAAACATCTTTGAACAAACATACACGCAAATGGCATTGAGATTCTTTTTTTTCGTATAATTTGTTGCAGTTCATAAGACTTTATTCTTATTTTAATGTGCAGCGCCAAAGTTCACGACACTGTGACAATCCCCCTCCCAACTCCGGGACAAAATTGAAATGAAAAGAAAAAATAAACAAAAACAAAGCTTTAAAATTTTATTAAAAAAATAAACATAACGTACAAACTAAAAATAACTAACTAAATAAATAAAAGATAAATTATAGTCTAAACTTTGTGTGGAGCTGATAATTTGAGATCAGCTCGACACAAAATGTCTACCGTGTGTCTAATGTAGGAGATTTAAAAAGGATAAAATTTGAAAAATATCAATCGTTTGCAGAACACTACCATACGTGCAGCATAGTAAGTAGATTAAAAAAGATGGTAACATGTGTCTTAAAACTAATAAAATGATATGAATCCGGCGTCAAATCCGACTATAAAACTTAACATAGTGTCGTAACGTAATAAAATGATGCATGAAGTGCTTAACAATCAGTCAATGAGTACTTTAAATGCTTAAAATATACTATATATTTTAGCTTTTAGATATAATGCCTTATATAAGTGAGTTGAGAGACAAAAACTACAGAATAAGGAATGGATATTCTAAAAGAAGTTATCATACATTAAACATTATTTATGGTATTTTAATTATCCCTTCACCAGATCTATGAGTCGATCATGCAATTAAAAGTTTAAAAGGTTCCATTAAACACTGAGCATTTATATTTTTCAAATTAAGGTGTTATATTTTAAAGATTTACTTACATACCGGTATGTGAGATAGGACCTACCCTTTGACTGTGTGCAGTGTGCAAAAGGAAACTCGAGTAAAGCGAGTACAGAGTGAAGTAAACCACATTTCGCGGACTAACTTGCCTCTAGGTCATCAACAATTATACTTCTCGTCTAATCTCACCACTAATTTATATGATATTAACACCGAAAGCCATCCTAACACGCATGTATACCAATATTTACAAATGCGGGTTTAGATCACTCTGTATCGGTTGAGTACATAGTTTTTCCATTGAAGGTACAGAGTGCGACAGTTCAAGAGTTGTAGTGCAGTGTCCGTGAGGAACTAATTGTTCAACAAACTGAAATAAAAATTAAACGGGTTCTAACTCTGTCGCGGGAGGGTACCAGACGAATTTTGATTGTATTCGAGATGCCGGCTGAGCGAAGTGTAGATTTTAATCGATTCTGTATCACGTTTGTAGCGAATTCTCTGATTGGTGCAGACACCAATCTTGTTATCCAAGCCAAAGCTTGGACAGCAAATTTCGCGTTTACTAGTGAAATTGAACTTAAACCATATAAAACTAAGTAATTAGTTACTGATTATAGCCCTTGGCATTTAGATTTTGAGTCTTGTTCTTTTTATTCGTCTACCAATACCAATGGAATTAAAAAGTGATTCCAACTTCTGCATTTAATTAAATTAGAATCTACCCAGTTCTCATCTCAACAAATTTACTCTCAATCAGAGCTCAAAAAATCTATCAACCGGTCATCGTTCGCTCAGCCGGTCACCCGCGTGGGTGCGGTAGGATTGTCAGGTAGCGTGACGCGGGCCCTACCGCCTATATGTAGGAGTAGGGGCCGTCGGTAAGGGCGCTGCACAGCAATAGTCAGGAGGCGTCGTCCTTGCCCGCTGCCGCCGAACCTGTGCGTCGGCTCGAGCGGTATTCGACTCCTGGGTCGAACTGCATTAGGACGAACACCTGGGGAAAAGGATAAACATATAACGCTGATCTTCTTCTTTTTGAAGATATAATAATAAAAACATTGCGAGGTCACAGCCCTGAGGTTAAGGTAGCCTTTCGTAGCGCTTAGCGTCACAGACGCAGCGTCTTTACGCCTGTAGCACACCTCCGCCGCGAAAACATGACAGCGAAACTAGTTATTTTAGTATACATCTCTGAAATCACACCCCCACATTAGCAACGAGGCCAAGTAAACGCAGAGATGTATATTGAAATCCTTTCGCCACGCCCACAAAAGGCGCCTGATATGATGCAATCGGAGGACACTTTGACGTGCCTTACGATCTTACGAATAATGGAATCATATTTCTTTTTGACGGTCAACTCGATTCAGGCTTGTTTGTCCTAACCAAACAGGTAAAAATACACAAAGAATGTATTGCAACTGAAATTCGAATCCAAATCAAGAGTTACAATACAACCAGCCATGGCAGATCACAAACAACTTGCTATACTCACAAGAGGATGATGTAAACGCCTGACTTTAATAAGTAAGAACACATGGGAATGCACCTGATCAGCACTTAGCCTACACCTAGTGACACCCTGGTCGCTTTGTAATACCAAATTCTCAACCATCTAAACTAAAGAGATAAGATAATATACTTCTCGTAGAATACCTGATCAGTAGGCAGCAAGCTGAAGTCATCAGGCGGGTTTGTGATGACGTATCGCTTGCTGCTCGCGTCGCAGGAGGACGAGGTGTCGCGAAACCGGTAGAGCCCGATGCACAGCATCCCGTACGAGCGGAGAGCCGCCACGAACAGGTCGCCGTATTTGCCGGCCTCGCCGAACTGCGCGAGTGGACCGTCGTAGAGGGATATCTGGCCGACTCTACACCGGTCCCTGGGAAAAGAAGAGGGCATTAGTTATCACAAGTTTTGACAATAACTTCGACTTTTTTACCGACTCCCCTGTTTCTGTTTATCAAAAGAAAATATCAAGATAATAAATGATACAGTACAGGAATCATAGGACTAGCTAGTCCACCATAAAACCTCAGAAAAAAAAGAGCAGATACGAGTTTTACGAGTGAATAACGCCCGTATTCACAAACATTACTATGAGGTCTCACAGTGCTCGTGGACGCACAGGGTGACACACGAACCAATCACAGAGCTCTATTCAACGCTGTGCGTTCGATTTGCTGCTTTACTTAAGCAAGCATTTGTGAATACGGGCGTTATTTTTGCTTATAAAAGGAAAATCATCAAGATACAGGATAAAGGAATCACAGGACTAGCTAGTCCACCATAATAAAAAAAGCAGATACCTACAAGTTACGAGTAAATGAATGAAGAAGCATTGGAATAAGTGTCGAAACATCCTCCCAAGTTCTCGAAAAATAGATGTACAACATAAGACTGTGAACAAGCATATGGTAGACTTACCTATTAGCTAAACTCTCAGGCGTGGAGTACCCTCCTCGGAGACCAGCTCCCTCGGCGAGGATCAGCTCCAGCTCTGGAGTGGCGCCGCCCGTGATCAACGAGCGGATCAGCGTTAAGGCATTCTGGTTGAAATACGTCTGTAAGAAGAATATTAATGAAAAAGATTTTTTGTGGAATTTTGAAGATTAGTAAAAAACCTCTTTATTGTGACTGGTCTTTTGGTTTCACTCGGATATTCCAAGTTTTCAAACATTTTGATTGAAGGTTTTAGAATATTAGCTGCTAGCTAAGCTACCATCGCACACCCACCATAATCCAAGATATTTGAATTTTACGTTGGTCTTTAATCCAGTTTATCCACTAACGTCACTGGTTGATGACTGAAATCAAAACATCCTTTAGCTCATTTTAAATGACGCAACGCGATGTTTTGATCCAGAATAAGGTTACCCTTTCTAGCGATTGTACTTACCTAAAGAAATACAAGGTCTGGAACATGTACGGGTAAAGGAACAGCACGTTTAACTACACATTTTTGTTGCAAAATAGGACCTAGGTTTTACAATTACGTCAGATGCAACAGTTCACCTTGATGAGCTGTGTAATCATTTGAAAATGGCACTTACGGTGGACATAAGAGAGTCGAGCACGCTGACGGCGAAGGCGGTGCCGCACGCGAACGGCTGCGTCAGGTACAGCTCCGTGTCGGGATCGTCGTCGTCGTCCTGGTCCAGGAACTGTACGTTGCTGTCGTTCACCAGCTCTGCGAATGATGAAGTTGAGAACAATTTCAGAAAGAAAGAAGAAGAAAGTCAGTCTCCTATCTAATGTGAAAGATTAACGCCTGTATTCACAAACGATGCTTGCTTAAGTGAAACAGCAAATCGTACGCACAGCGTTGAATAGAGCCCTGAGATTGGTTCAGTGTCACCCTGTGCATCCCCTCGCACTGTGAGACCTTATAGTAACATTTGTGAATACGGGCGTGAGTTTTATCTGCCACAAGACGAGCCAACGGCCATGCCACTTATTTTGACTGAGGTGTAGAGTGTGTGAAGTTAGGGCGAGTAGAGTCAGAAGCTTGGCTCTACACTCTACAGTCATGAGATCTGACAACTTTTTCACGGTGCGAACCATATGGACTCGTCTTGGCCACATTTTACATAAAATTTTTGGTGGCATTGCCATTACAGAATAGAACAAAGACATCAGTCACCGAGGAAGTTGGTGATCCATCTTCTAAAGGGAAAGGGATTGATCACTCCCGTACCCTTTTCAAATCTATATGTTAGCGATTCCAGATGTTTATAGAACCTCTTGCGGCAGGTCGCTCATGCGCTGGACTGATCAGGTCATAACCGCACTCAATAGTCTAATCCACGAGTCACAAGAAAGGCTGCAGTGCGGGAGGAATGGCGACGGATTGTGAGGCTTGCCACCGGACCTGGTGTGACGACTACGACCACTCTGGCAAGAGTGTAGCGACGAAGAAGAAGAAGAGTAGAACGTCTGCATCAATAGCGTCACTCACCAGTAATCATAGGCACATTGGCACCATACACGGACCCTCTTCTTTGCAGCAGCACCGGCGCGGGCGCCTGCCCCGGCGGCGGCTGCGCAGCGCTCCCCCCGTTCGTCCCCACCCCCGCGCTTAGCACGCCTATCGTGTCGTCGAACGTCATCGCCTTGATGTTCAACGAAGCCAGGATAGCTTCCTTGTCGGCCAGCGTCGGGTCATCGTTCGATGGCACCTTCGCTGATAGGATGCAGCACATGTCGCATAGGTTGACATTAACTGCACGCAAGTCGGCCCGGCTTAGCGGTGAACCCTGGGAATGACAGAATGATTAAGAAGCTGTCATCTTCTCGATTATTGATACTGTATCTCATGTTGATAGCCCAATAAAATAAATAAATAAATTATTATCAGTATTTCTATAAATAAAAATATTGTGGAATTTCATCATAATCATCATCTCAGCTACAGGACGGCCACTGCTGAACATAAGCCTCTCCATGATTTCCATATCGCCCGGTTGGTAGCGGCCTGCATCCAGCGCCTTATTGCTGCTGTGGAATTTCACTTGTCTAACGGCTGTGGTGTTATAATGCTGATGACTAAATAGATGTTTAATTATAAAGATCTGTAACAGCAGCTGATTCTTATGCAAATAAGAATTCAAATGGCCTAATAACTTCAAGATCGGACTTCTTAAAAGAAGAAGAGTAAAAAAATTTTCACTCACATTCAACACCGAAATTTTGGGAAGATTCTGCAACATCTTCCACTCTCTCCTGATGTATTCGACGCTGCCCACGATGACCACGTGCTTCAGCTCGTGGTAGTGGAAGTTGGAGGCCCGTAGCGGCATCACCAAGTTCCGGAGCCCGATGAGCGGCGAGTCGGGGTCCGCGAACAAGCACACCACCACGTGCCCGTTCAGCACTGTCATGGCCGCTTGGTTTCTGTCCTGGAGGATAAATGGGATGATGAAGAAAAAATGACGTAATAAGATATTAAGAGAAGATTTTCGTCTCTAAGGAAGAGAATCAGAATTGATATTTTGATGAGACGTATGGGAAAGAAGGCGTGAAAAGGCGTCATGGCGTCTGAATTTCAGACACTCTGAAAAGCCTTAATCAGACCGAATGGGTTAACTAACAGGCTCAGGTTGTTTGATGAAATGATCAAGTTAAATGATCATAAATCATCATCCTTGTTAACAATCGTTAGTTAATAACAGGCTCTCCAAAGCACTGAAGGTTGTTTGATGAAATGATCACGTTGAATGATCACAAATCTGAGCTACTTATGGCGGTGATCACGGTGAAAATGAGCCGAGCTTTATTTGACGATCTCATCTTAAATGGTAAATCTTGTCTGTCCATAAATTGCAGTGTTGGGAAGTGGAACAAGAGGCGGTTAGTTCTGTTAGTTTGAGACCTGGTAGTACTTACTAGTATACAGTCCTCCAGATTCCTGGCGGGGCTCCAATGGAACATCCCAGTGGAGTCGTACTTCATTTCAGTCTTTTCAAAGTCGAAGTCCTTCGACTGGTCATCCGCCAGGCCGGCTGGCAGACTGACCCCGTTGCTGTTTTGGTTACCACCACTACTCCTACTCGTCGGCCTGATGAGACAAAAGCGTCACTTATTGTCGTTTCACTAGAGGTACAAGGATATGTCACACTGGTCTGCAGTCAAGTCAAAGTAATCATAATAATGTGTGCGTCAGGTTGACTTGACCGAAGACCGCAGACCAGTGTGACAAATCCTTTAAGCCTTTTAAATCTTTGATCTAGCTTTTTTATTATTGTGTCTCATGTGTCATGTTTTGGGTCGAGTGGTTAGAAGAAGAATTGTTCACAACACAAATGTTAATGATGCGTTTGATTCAACAAAATGCTAGTGAACTCTGAATCGAAATTATTGTTATGTATCAGTCAGTATTCAATGTGTATTAGGGTTAGTTTCACTAATGCCAGCATCACAGGGTGATAAAATGGTCACAGTGGTACAGCTGAAAATATCGAACATGTTTGGTGAAGATGGTTTTTAAAACAGATCAGCGATTTTAAAAGGCTTTGAACAGTTGGTTTGGGTTCGACGTATTATATGGCACAAAAGATCTGATCAATTATTGGGACTTAAGTTGTTTAACTAACGGAGGCTTAAATCGTTCGGAACTCAAAAGCTTTAGTAAAGTTTCAGAGCTTGAAGTGCCATACAAGCTGTCGAATACTTAAAGTATGTTTTTGGACCAGTACATAACAAAAGTGCATAATATGTACACAAGTACAAAATTTTATTGTGGAAGCGTTTATTAGTTCTTTTTAGAAATCTATAGAATGTTGAATAAATGCGCCTACCTATAAAACAAATGTTAAAACTACTCGGTGATAAGTTAGAAGATCTAAAGCATGCCCCTCTTTAACTGATAGTAAAAACCCACCTGTTTGATATTAAAATTAAGAAATATCTGTGATTTCAGCCATTTCGATAAGAAAAAAATTATTTTCAGGAAAAGTTTTCCCTAATCAAAGTTTATCTTTTCGGCTTCTTATCCTATCCAGTATGTTTGATTTGAGTCAACAAATTAGACGAATATTTTCTTTTTCAACACTTACGAGTGCCAAATTACGTTGAAACCGAAATAGCATTTTAAATTTTAATATTGTTTGAGGTAGGTTGAGTAGGTCTTGAAGATTTCAAACCCAATTCGCAAAGAAATTGTATAAGAGTTTGTATACGATAGGTACGCACGGATACCTACCTAGTTTGAGATCCAATGAGGATCATTTCGATTTTTAGCTGTAAATGCAGATTTATAGGGCTAAAAAATCCTTAATACACAGTCCAAAAATTTTTGTTCTACGACAAAAATTGACGAAGTTATGGCCAAATTACTAAAAAAGTTCACTGACCGCCCGGCGCGGGGACGATGACGTCATTATATCCGATCCGATCCGAACGCTGCCGGCGTACTGCGTGGATAGAAAATATTTTTTTCTAGCCAAACTATCAGTTTTAGAGAAAAACTTGTAATGACATTTATTCATCAGAATAAAGTAAGCTATCGATAGGTAATTTTTAAAAATAGAAATTGTGAAAAATATCGCAAAAAATCCATACGCTCATACGATTCAATGGAACGCAGAGACGCGATTGGGGTCTCCGTGGTGGTATATTTATTTGGCGATTTATTCAAATAAAGTGTTCATAAGTGTTGTTAGAGTCATATCTTCTTCCAAGTAAAATATAAAAATGTATAGGTATTAATTTATTTCCTTCTAACAATAAGGTATAGGCTGAGGCAGATACACTCTGCCTAGGCTACAAGACATTGCTATGAAGATCATTTCGATGTACACGCAATACCTACCTGTAATTTAGTTTTTCTGAGTTAAACCTACGTACCTACCTACCTATTCGCCGTTCCCATGGGCGGGCCAGCTGCTGCAGGAAAGGACAGCTGCACCTTCCTGGAAATCTATTTAATCTTAGCCTAGAAGCTGGGTATGACTCCCCGCCCCCCTCCTTTCGCCAGGTCATAAGCTGGGCATGACTTCCCCCTCGGCCAGAAGTTGGGTATGANTTGCCTCTCCCCCCCTCCCACCAAGGCCAGAAGCTGGGTAAGGCTTGCCCCTCCCCCAGGCTATAAGCTAGGTATGACTTATCCCCCCGTAGGCCAGAAACTGGGTATTAGCATCATATTATTATTATTATGTATTATTATGTTCAATACAAACAATCATTAAGTTACACTCAACCCAACCGCGTCTCCGCATTCCATCGAATCCTATGAAAATGCGGTTTTTGGACATAGCGATACTTATTTTTCACAATTTTTATTTTTAAAAATTACTGGTCGATGGGTTACTTTATTTTGATGAATAAATGTTATTAAAAGTTTTTTTCTAAAACTGATAGTTTACCTGGAAAAAAATATTTTCCATCCCAATAGTACGCCGGCTGCACTCGATTCGGATATAGTGACGTCACGCGGCCCTGCGTACGTTGACTTTTAGCGGCTAAAACGGCCTATGTTTATTACTTAATATCTTCGTAAGTAATGGTCCGATTTGGATAATTCAAAAAGATATATCTTTCTTATGTCTTAAAGATTAACGTAGATACTAGTTTTATTGAATTTTCTACAACAGTACTGATCCTCATTAGAATTCTAAGCAAAAATGTAAGTAGGTACCTATGTTTGTAAAGAGGGGCTTTTAATTTGTTAAGTTCAAAAAAGTGTGATCTATTCAGTGTAAAGATAAAAAAATAAAATGCATAAAAATGACAAAACGTGACGACTACCTAATAAAATAACAAAAGTGAGCATGCTATAACTTATTTATACATATTATTATAAAATGTGCCGTGCCTTATTATAGTGCAAAAATAAACTTTACGACCTAAACTCAACACTATACTTCCTACATAAAATAAGAAACAAGCAAGCACTACTCTACTTTATTAGGGTAAATTTAAATTTATTTACTAGGCTGGAATTAGCTCGTCAATTTAAATTAACTGTTATTTACAATTGTTAAACATTTTATGTGTTAAATAGTAGGAAGAAGGGTGCTTAACAGATGAAACGAAAAATAAGGAAGAAAAGTTAGGCGATGTTCTCATTAATGTTAAGATTAATACCCTTCTTAGTTTTGGGTAAAAATATCTAAACACAGAGAAAATATTCTTTGCAGAAATGCATAAGTGGGTATAATCGGAAATCAAGTGAATGGTTTTAGTCTTATTGATTGCTACAATTTAAGAGCTACAGAATGTTTAATTGAATATTACTTCTTAAATTCAAATATTACTATTTGGGATGGGATTGAACCAAAGAATTAGAACAACTTAACATTAAATTTAAAGAGCCTCAAAAGGTCTAAAAAGATAATTCTACCCTAGAAAGGTTTAAGAATAGTCAGAATTATTACTATTAATCAGTCAAACACTAGATCGTCTAATTCCAGCCAACTTCAAACTACTGATAATAAAATTATCTAGCTGATATATAATTTTGTTGGATTTACATGAGCTTTTTGACTTCGTAGGCAAGGTGATAGGCCTGGTAATTGGTATCTTGATCCTGCGGATTCCTGTAACACAGGCCAAATTGTCGTCTCCAATGACACAAGAGAACTATCAAGGAAAATAGATAGATGTGCAGCAGATATATAGGGTTTAATACTTAATAATAGTATGTTGTGTAGAGTGCACACTGTGCTAAACGAAACCTCTATTACAGCGAACACATTGAAGATTTCACAACAAGCCGCGATAAATAAGAAATCAATGAAAATAAGAACACAGAAAGAAATTCAAGAATAGATGTAATAGTCATGTTAAAGTTACACTATACTGGTTAGTAAATTAAGAAGTAAATGTTACAGTGGTTACTTTCAATTATTTTAGATTGTATTTTATTGAGCACCAAACTTTCTACAAAGTGATTAACTGGAAAGCAAATCATTTCAGAAATGTGCATAAAATTTCCAAGAATAGCTTTTCAGTTTTACTAAATGCTACAAAATATTAATTATTAATGTCTGAACTCTATCACATTTGCATGTAAAACAACTTAAACTAATTTAATGCAAAATTCTTTAAGTTTTTCAATTAACATGGTGAATTACTCGTTATAAATCTAGTAATCATCCTGAGTGTCTTTGCATGTATATCGATGACATGCTGTTTTTTTGCATCTGTCTCAACTTTGGTTACAATTTCTCCCTTTCGTCAGTTAATTTTCTATAGTTATGCTTTTCTACTTACGTGTCAGGCGGTGCTCTGTTGACATTCGGTTTGACCTTGTTGACTTGCCGTGTCGTGGTGGTGTTCATCAGCTGGTTTGCCATCGGGGATAGCAATGCTGTTGGCGCCGCGCTCCGGTGATTCCGATTTATCACTGTCAAACATTTGTGTCTTAATGGTTATTGAAAATTTAGTATTTGTAAATGCTACGTGTATCTGGAACGATATGATTTTCACTTAAAAAATGAACTGCTTCATTGATTTATTCTATTTTGGGTAGGGAAATACTAGTGTAATATTTGATTCTAATTAGGTATTTAAGTATGTGGTAATTCTTTAATTTTAGTGTCATGTTTCCAATTTAAAAATTGTGTACTTACAGCTAGTATCCTCGCCTCTTTCTCTCGCAATTTCACCTGAAATGCAAGTTCTAATATAGAATTTGGTGGGTGACCTATTTGTCAATATTGTTACTGGATTCGTGCAAATTAATTTTGAATGGAATTTTTAGTTGGGTTAGCCGATTGGGATGTTCTATGAGGATTAATGCTTGCCAATTACGGGGTTCTAATTTTGCTTTAAAAATATTTGTGTCCGAATTCAAGATTTCAAGATCCAGTTTTAAATATTTCAATTAAAATTAAATCACGCATAGCATTTACGATATAGTTGCTTTCCATTCAAATCTACTACAAAAGCGTATCAAGCATTCAGGGAAACAGTAGGTAAGTACATTGATGTAGTCGATGCAATGCCATGGAGAGTTGAAATGCATGGCGCAGGGTACAAACCAGAAATGAATAGTGTCCGCATTAGAGTTTACCAAGAAGCACAGGTCGATGGACCGTTTCAATTTCAAATTACCAGTTTCATGATGCAAAAGTAAAATAAAAGATTTTTGCTTCGTATGGAACTCAAAAGTAGCCGACTCGAATGTTTGGAAATCAAAGTAAATAATGATTTGATTGAAATAATAAATTCTAGGTACATATTTTACAGAATACCCTATTATATTGAGATTTAAATACATTTTCTCGTATATTCAATATCAATACATTCCCACTTCTTCTCCTTTCATGATCTTTTTCATATTTAGGCTAAATATTTAATATTCGTTTTCAAATTAAGATTTGTGTTGTTGTTTGTTGAAAGTTATGATAATGATTAAATAGGGACACGCATATTCATCGACTTTAAATAACTCTTAGAGAGCCCGGGCGCTAATTTATAAATAGATCCACTTGCTCGTATCTGCAGAGTGAAAATAGTCATATCGTTACATTAACTTCTGATTTCTCTAACATTGCCATGGGATCAAAATAAAAGGAATCAAACATAAAAAGTGAGAGTATTGCCTTGAACGTGAACTATTCTTGGAAAATTTGATCGCTCAAGCGACAGGTAAAGTTGTTCTACGTTTTGGCCGGGTACATGCCTGATACAAGCAGTTGTTCAAATTCTCGGCGACATTCGGCGGTCGCCAAAGTGCTCGCTATGAAATGCGTGATAAGCATCTAAGTGCACGATACCTTCTGGTAACCTAAGGACGAAGCACATTGCTGGTCGATGGAGAAGTGTGGGCCGATGATAAAAAGAAAAACAAATTGAAAAATAAAACACTCAGTCCTTTGAGCCTGAGATGTACCTCGAACATGGACCTTCTTGGGCAACTCTGGCGGCGTGAACGTGGGGGGAGGGTGGTGGTCATCTGCAAAACATCAGCACAATTTCGCATTCCGATACACCACTGAATAAATACAATAATACATACTGGCAATTTGCAATGTATACAGCTGTGACCGTGATCACAATTATGACAATTTTGTATGAACATCATATTGCGTTGCACCTTTGATAAGCTGCAGCAGTCAGCTTAGCGCAATAGAAGCCCATTGGTATAGTCAAAGGTGAAACCCAATAGTTCAAGGAATCAAATTTAATATACATTGATCAGATCAATCAGAATAACATTAAAACAACTACAACATTCACATGCAACAAACAACAAACAAACGCTACACACAAAATTAAAAACTAATTACTATTAGACAAGCACCGTGTTCTAAACTAAATAAATGTTTAACAACTTTAATGGTTTTAGAACCCTAAATTTAATGGATTAGGCTAATGTACTGGGTTATGAACAATGAAAAATGAACCATTAGGAAATCACCGAGCGTACTAACGTTAATGGTAAAGGCAAATTATTACGCAAGGTATAATTGAAATATAGCATTGTATACCACAGTTCCGACGGGTGCAGTAACCTAACTGCAAGTCCGGATGGTTCTATCGAGGCGGGGCCATCTAATTAAAGTAACGTTCCCTATGCAGGGTAGTTTTACATAATTAAAAATCACTTTTCAATTCGAAAGCGTAATACAAATGAATATCAATTAACACTATAACACAACATCAATATCAGAGGGACTATTCGATGCAGAAATCAGGGATCAAAATACTCCTAGAAACAATATTTTGAGAATCATATAACAATAATGTAATAACAACAACACCAAAATAAATAAACGACATCACAATGTCTCTCGATGTTTTATATCGGCTAATAGAGAGGCAAACATCTAACTGCTGTATAATGCACATAGAGAAACGTGGACAAGACAATGATACAGGACACGAGATTGCTATATGTAGGTGGCTCCCTCCACCTAACAGTCGCTTAAACATCACATTGACATGTACATTGAATTGATACAGGTTACGTACTTGCCCTGCCAACCATCTGGACGGCTCGTACGCCCTTCCTGAATGTGGCCACTGAACCGAGAAATAACAAGTTTAGCTCATCGTCACAACTAATTTAGTCATCCTGCTTTAAGAGGGTGAAACAACGCAAATAAACAGGTATTTATGCTGACAGAGATGCAAAGCTGAGAAGGTTCTTTCTTAGTTTAAGATAGGAAAGAATGCGGGCCAGCTCAATTCACATCGGCTGTTCCAATTACTAACCTGTCTATGGGCTTTCAGAAATTGTATTTTAGTAAGATTATTTGCTTGGTTAGTAGTTAGAACGTCCGCAGTCTAAGATACATTTCCTAAAGTTCAGACCTGTGTTTCACTATCCCTATCATGTCAAGTAAGCGTCGTAGTTATTTTGCTAGATATGTGTATAGCCTTGCTGCACTATTCTAGCTGCGTGTGACGTTTAATAGTGTATTAGCGTATACTGTAGCTCAGTATATATCGTCATGGGCAATGGTTAGTTGACGCAAACAAACTAAACGTGTTGTGGTGAGGTACGGTAATATGGGATAGCTCGCATTTCCTTTCCGTACCGTCGAGACAACCTCGATATGTATTAAGATTTTGTTTCACCATCCCAGTCTGCATCATCATCATTCCGACATCTGTAAAAATCCAAACACTGACAAGAACGAAGGTACGCTCCTATTCCATTGATGGAGTGGAAGTCGTTATTATTCATGTTCGTTGGTAGCGTCAAATTCAGAAGACCATGTTCACCAAGTTCCTCCTGTGTGTTAGTTTAGGGATATCACTCTGAATTTGATTCTATCAAACTGAAGGATGGTATAATGAAGTGACGGTTGTTTAGTCCCTTGCGTTAGTCACTTTCATTAGCACAGACAAGCCTGAACTGCTGTATAAAGTCTTTGTGTTGCTTCAAAGCTCACTCTTCTTGGGCAATTTCTATCAGTACTTCATCTTCACTCTTTTCTGAGACATGCTTTCGTGGATTTACATAGACATTTAACTAAGTGTTTCGGGATAATGACGGTGCATTATTGCCATATTTAGTTCTACTATGACATGCAATGTATTGTCTGTGCTGGGCTTTGAAGTGCATCATATCAATTTCGATTGAGCTCTTAAAGTTTCGCACCGGATAATTTTGATAAAATTTTGAAGAGTGACATAAAATTTGAGGCCTCATTGTTCCTGATCAGGTAGGTACATGATTCGTCATGTCGACGCATTGAATGATGCACTAAATCCTCTCAATCCATACAAATCAGAACAGAGCGAGAAATATCTCAAAAGGCATAGAAAAATGGTGAGTGTCGGAGTGCGTCGTCGTATTGTGGCAGATTCCATTCACGAGCGGGCGGACATACACAATGATCGCTAAATATAGGTGTGAACGAGCACGGGTCAAGAGAATGCAGCCGATCCAGTCTGTGAGGTACGGACGCAACACCACTAAAGCAACTCAAAATTATATAGACACGAAAATAAATATCGGAAAACGTCAATTTGTGAGGTTAGGTGTTGTGCAAGTTACCTATATCGGCTCCAACCTTCCGCTGCGCGGTCACTAAAAGTTTAGCCGAACAATTTCATTAATGTCTCACAAATAGAAAGAAAGTAAGTACATAGTGTGAAGGGTTGCTGTGTCGTGTCTTGATCCTACAGTGTTAGATACAGTAACGTGACATTATCTGAGTCAAGGATTGTGTTTAAGTGAAGTAAGTTAAGACACAGCTCGTGAACTTGTAAAACATTGATTTTTCCAGAAAGAATGTCACAGAATGGTCAGTAATGTAAATCTTCTTAGCTAGAGTAGAAATTGCTGTTATTAATCTTAATTTAATAGTATTGTATTTCATTAATGTTAGAATAAAGCAAGTGATCTTACAGTTTTTGCATTTGCATTTCTTGATGAGTGTTTCATCCTTGATGTCTTCGTGGCAGGCTTTGCAATAGTACCAGGCTCTGGAAGATCACAGAATTTTTTGAATAGAAACTAGTGTATTCCCTGAAGTAACCATTAGTTGTAAACGATTTGTAAGTTTTACTGAGCACGCTATTCTAAATTTCTCAGCATCTCTTAATAACAATGTAAAATATTATTTTCTTGAAAGTTTTACCAGTGTATCACTAACAACATAATTTTGGACATACCTCTTCACCTCATCGGCAGACTGTGCTATGAAAAACCCTTGTGTGTTGGCGTGGATCTTGGCACTTCGAGGGTTGATAGAGATCTTGCTGTCTGCCCCTTCTTCGCCTTTGATCTCGATGGCCAGAAGCAGTAGCTTCAGTTTTGTGAAGCATAACCTGGTGAGATATAAGCTGCTGTAGCTGTTGAAGCTTTTTTATACTACAGTATTAGCCATGAAAAGAAAAATATTAAAAATCAACTCTACGTGACAATAGCTTGGATTTATCCGAGTTTATTTAATTTTTGTTAGGTTAAATAATTTTAGAATGCCTGTTCCAAATACTTTTATAATTTATTTATATTAAATCATATGTAACTAAAAATTTGTAAATATTTGCATTGGTACACTATTTCTACTTTTACATTTAACTAAGCATGCAATATAATTATTTCTAAACAATTTGTTTATATTCTACAGAAAGCTACTCATGTATATTCATATAAATATATAAACTGTGTAAATATATTTCATACATAAAGTGATTGCATAAAATATGTTACAGTTTCAATACAAGAAGCACACGAAGCGAGAGGAAAGACCACCACATCATGCAGGGTAACAGGAACACAAATGCTCATAGGTAAGTCAGTTTACTTTACATACTGATTTTATGATGATATATGTATTATGATGTCTAAACGGATTTTTATTGTTGTCGCATGCTTTACTATTTATACATGCATTTTATATTTCGGAATGTCGAACTACATGCACTCACTCTACGGCTACACTAAACTTATCAGAGTGCATATTTTTCAGATAAGTACAAGAGAAATTAAAGATTGATGATAGAAACAATTGTATCAACATTCCCACGCTCGTAATAACAAAGAAATTAAAAATCTAATGAAATCATAGTTACTACCTGGTTATTCTAACTACTATCAACCTACCCATTCAATGTTATCCACATTACATGCACATTACTCTGAAAATCAAAAACGTTAACAGTTCTGATCTTCAAACGGCCTACGACAATCTAGGGACAGGATCTGTGCACATTCAGTTAGCGGGGTCATGGCACACATATCTACGGTGCAGGGAAGGCAGGCCCAAAGGGAGGGGTCTTACTCGCTCGCTTGAGGGAAGCTCATCCCAGTGAAGGAAGTGGACAGTGTCTCCGTGTACATCTCGCAGCCTGTACCCTGGAGGTAATCGTTCTGCCAAGCTTGGGTGTCGGGAGACTGCAATCAATCAAGGAGACGCTCAAGCCCGTGCCTTGTTAGTCATAGCCGCCGTCGAAACCCCACGCCAGATTCCCCCTAGCAGACTCTTCCTTTCGTTAGTTACTTCTACTCTATGAGGTAGAAGTGTTAGTCTAATCTAACGGGTCTACCTTCACAACTGAGTCATTCAGTGCAGTTACCCATGAACGATGATACTCGAAACGAACAGAATCAGTCACGGACGAAGCTGGCAAACAAAATCGGACATTACACTAAATGAGAGAAAGCTATGCGGTTATTGTTTATTAGTTGGTGATGTTCGTTCCGCCGTCCCAGGAATATAGATGGTGTGACGTCGGGTCAAGTCACGGCATGATAGATCCGACCACTTACTCTGCGGCGACGCTGAAGGGCATCCCGACAAAGGTCGTACTCAGAGTCTCCGTGTACATCTCCATGCCGGTACCTCGCATGTAGTTACTAGGCCACACATCCATATCGCTTGGCTGTGGAAATGCCGCATAGAACATGTTAGGTAGAGCACATTCGAGAAGATGCCACAGAAGGTATTTTCGAATATTGAACGTCGCTGCCAATCCGTGATAGCTTTCGAATGTGCTTCGGAAAGAAAATTTGAAAGAAAGATAGAGGATAGTGAAGGAGGCTGACCGTCTTAAAACTCCTCATGGCGAAGAGGTTGGCCATCATGGTGGAGAAGCCGGGCGCGAGGCAGCTCTGCGCGATGAAGCCCAGTTTCAGTTCTGCTAAGCAGATCACGTCATCGCCCTGCTTCCAGTCCCACGATGGAATGTTGAGTAGGTAGGCCTGAAACGTACAAGACAAAAGTTAAACTAAAATCCAGTGATAGTTAAGAAAGTTGATGGGGTTAATAATTTGGAGACTGAGAAAAAACATATTGGTATAATATTTTATGCACCTTTCAAAGAACACGCTAGAGACTAAGTCGAAAATTATAATATGAACTACTTAATGTATGCTAGTGGTGTTTTCTGGCAACCGAAAATTCTTACACTGAGATAACCCACCACTCTAATAAGTTAGAAGAAAAAATGGCGCAACAGTTTACCTTGTTGTGGTACTGCATCAGCTGAATGATGACCCTGATGTCGTCGGAGTAGTTCTTGATGGAGATGACCCTCATGATGTTGGCAGCGTCCTCCGCATCGGGGTCCTGGCAGTATTTGTTTGCTAGCACCAGACAAGCATCCGCTTCATGTACCTAAATATACACCAAGTTAAAGAAAAGGCAACATAAAGATGTTTAATGTATTCAATTTTTTGTTACTGTCTCTAATATTTTTTGTTGGGAGAGTAAAAATATTGATAAAGATTTGGCATTGAAATTTTGATAGTGGTATAATTTATTTAAAAAATATTTTTAATAATGTAAACAAGAAATTAATACTTACATTTACTGAACATTAACACATTGATACACGAACAAACAATTCTAGGGAAGGGTTAGTCAACATTCTAAGTTAATAAGCAGAGTAGAAAGCATGAAAGTGTCTAATACGGAATAGCAGAACTAAACACTTATGTGTAAATGATCACTACACTAGGTTTGCCAATTATCAACGATTTGATCAACGGGTACAAATTTTGAAAATTCGGTAGTGACCATTTGGGAATAAGCAGGTGGGTGGAAGAAATAAGGTCATGCAACGAAAGCGCATTCGAAATCGAAGCCATGCAATTTTTACATCAAGAACTTACCATAAACACTCGACAATATCGACAATCGAAAACTGTACTTGAAAACTACGGTTTAAATTTTGAAATGGAAACCCTTTCTTCGGCAGCCATTAATGCCAATATGCCAGTGGTAAATTTGTACAGTACAAACGATATCGATTGTTTAGAGTATGGTTGGTACACGGGCGAGCATGGCATACAACACCGAGTTGGTTACAGTAAGACAGTTGCCGCTCGGGCAGGGACCGGGGCGGTGGCACACAGGCCCGGCCGCAGCAACGCCGGCCGGGCGACACAGATTACATTAGCAACAGACAGGCACGTACAGCGCTCAAGTCATAGAAGGGACCACATCGCTCCAACAGAAATCTTCTTGGAAGAGATCAGAACGAGCATCGCTCTACGTCTATAGAAATGACAGTCTGTACAGCTTCAAACCGACACCACGCTCAAAATCAACATCATCGTTGCTACTTACTTTTACCCTTTGCAGATCGATAGGGTTCATTATGGTGCCTTGAAAGAATTCCACAGTGGTAAAGTGTCTCTTGAACAGGCCTTCGAGCTCCAAGTCGGGCGGTTTCCTGTCATCAACGCTCAGTTAACACTAGGTAGGGGACAGTCCGCCGCCTGCCGTGGGCCGATCTTACCATGCACTCTATTTACCAAAATACGCAGTCGTGTGGTGGAACGGAGGCGCCTCGCTAAGGCTGAGGCGCGCCCGTCCCACCGTGAAAAGTAGGGCATGGAATACCGGAATAAGTTTTATACCGGTATTGATACCGGTATTGAAATTTCAATTACCGGTATACCGAAATTTCGGTATTTTTCGGTATTTCTTGAGATACTGCTATTTACTGTTTAAATGTTTCCAAGAACGATTAGTAAGTCTCGTTTGCGAAAAGTTATTAATAGGCCAGTAGAATAAGACGTGAAAATTAATCAAATCGGAAATAATTCCTAAAGGTTTTGTTTTAATAGCTTCATTTGTTGCTCATTAAGACTATCCTAAGTTTTCGACTTCGACGGAAGTGTGGTGGGGCCCCCCGAAAGGGACATTTTTCCGGTTTTATGGTTATACCGTATAAATAAAGGACTTGCAGTATAGAAAATTAATCTTCATGGCAGGTGAAGGGCATTTAATCCTGCATTGAATAAGACGAAATTCATATATTTTAGACAAACCGTTTTCGTGTTTATCTTCGACAAAGTAAAAAATATGCGTATAATTAATGACCCTCTCTAAGTTCAATGGCTCGTCACCCGCTGGCTCCCAAGCCTTGAAAAGGGCCACCTTAACCAGCGTATTCCTGTCAAGGCTCGCGAGTTGGATTCGCCTATCCTTATTCATCCCAGCCGTTCCTTTACTACGGCTCTTCCTTGCTCTCTCTTGAACGACTTTCGTGTTATCTACTGTGGCTGCCCCTCTTCCTTGCACCCTCCTGTACGACTGCGTTGCCTATTCTTATGCCTGGTCCAAGGTTCGACTCCAATAATCAACAACAACAGTTTCATATTAAAACGCTGAAGAGTTTGTTTGTTTGAATGCACTAATCTCAGGAACTACTAGTTTGATTTAAATAATTATTTTTGTGTGGGATAGCTCGTAAATTGAGGAAGGCTATAGGATATTATACGATCACGCTACGTCTAATAGGGGCGAAGCAGTAAAGAAAAATGTTGCAAGCACGGGAAATAGTATTCAAACTATTTTCACGCATACAAAGTTGATTTCGTGGCGTCGAACCTTGGACCAGGTATACGGCTAGGCAACGCAGTCGTGCAGTAGGGTGCAAGGAAGAGGAGCAGCCATAGTAGATAACACAGAGTCGTTCAAGAGAGTGCTGGGAAGAGTTTCAGCAACCGTAGTTAAGGATCGGCTGGGAACCAGGATAGGCAAATCCAACTCGTGTGGCTTGACAGGGATACGCTGGTTAAGACGGCCCTTTTCAAGATTTGGGAGTCATGTGGTGACGAGCCATTGGACGTAGAGAGGGTTATTAATTAATACGTATATTTTCGTGCTTATTAAGATGCTCGTGCTCGCTTCAATGATATCAGCAGAGCAGAACTGACTTGACTCAATCGATTATTGGAATCGATATGATGATTCGAATCATTATCATCTGAATCAATCCCAACTAATATTATAAATGCGAAAGTAACTCTGTCTGTCTGTCTGTCTGTCTGTCTGTCTGTCTGTTACGCTTTCCCGCTTAAACCTCGCAACCGATTTTGATGAAATTTGGCATAGAGATAGTTTGAGTCCCGGGAAAGAACATAGGATAGTTTTTATCCCGGTTTTTGAAACAGGGACGCGCGCGATAAAGTTTTTCTGTGACAGACAAAATTCCACGCGGGCGAAGCCGCGGGCGGAAAGCTAGTAATAAAAATAAGTATAAAAATAAAAAGAGATGGTGTAAAACCTATGATGACTTTCCATTAGTTGAAAAACTGCCGATATTGCAAAATTAGATCACTTTTTTCGAAAAACCGAAATACCGGTATTTTCCCCTTAAATGCCGGTATCAAAATACCGAAAATTTTGACCGGTATACCGGTATTTCGGTATACCGGTATACCGGTATCCATGCCCTAGTGAAAAGCAATGATTGCATCAAAAGAATCACAAGATAAAGTTACCAAAGTGATAAAATCCTACTGTGTCTATGAAACAGCATCTTTACAGAAGAACAAGATCTGTTTGTATGCACATAAACAAATAAAAATACTGTTCACGTAGACGCGATCAATGATAAGTACGGCCGTGCGATAAACTAATGCCTGCACTATTCGGTCTTACTCTAACCTTGACTCTCTCAAGGTCGACGGCATTCATCATTGTACCCTGAAAAAACTCGACCGTGGTGTAGTGACGCTTGAGGAGACCTTCCAGCTCAAGGTCGGGCTCTTTTCTGAAAGCGTCGTCGGATATTCATGACACACCGCCTCCATCAAATTCCTCAACACCTCTCGATTTGACTCAAGTGGTAAAATTGATTTTAGCAAATATTTTGGATATCTGTTTCATTTAGATTGCGAATTTACATTTAAGTGCACTTTAAATATTATGCTGTTATCTGTTTCATTATAGAAATCGTTATCTTAAACTTATAAATAAATGTAAATATATCTGTTATGTCTATTTTTAAAACTATGTATGTAGGTATCTTGAAAAATACGCACCTGTGTAAAAAAACAACCTCAACGTCCACATCTTCTCTGTCTTCATGTAGGAAGTCTTTTAAAAAATGGCTTACTGACTCGTACGTTATATGCCCACATACAACTATGTGCCTGAAAGTTTAGAAATATATTATAACATCATGCCGGGAGTCGCAAACTGCAAAGGTGCTGCTACAAACAAATAGCTGTTTGAAAATAATCGAAAAGCCTTTAAGCAGAGAATTTAGAATTTGAAAGCCTTCTTTATTTATTTACAAATGCAAGAGTTTAAAGAAATTGCTGCATTGATTGAGAGAACTTTAAGCTGTGCAGCATTTGACAATTTAAAAGTAGGCATTTTCGTTCAAGAAAGCGAATTGAAGCTTACTGTTATCTTATAAGTAAAGGATAGAAAAGACAGAAGTACAGCAATTTGAAGTTTTATTTAACACCTGGGACCAACAAATTAAGAAATCAAACGGAAGCAAAGGTCTCGGCAGGGTTAAACAAAACAGTAAGTGATAAAAGCGTGAAATAACTACGTCAAGTCAACAACGTCTTCTTTTCGCAGCCAATTTGTGAATCAACTAATGATGAACCAAATAAAACATCTATTAATTCTATTAGTAACATTAAACATTTAGGGATTGCTACACATTTACGGATTCTAGAACTAGAAAACTTTTTTGGAAGAAATGAAGACATTGCGTTCGATAACCTCCATAATTTACAATTAATGTATTGTTCATTAGTTTGTGGTTTCTTTGTAAAGTTAATTGCAATTGCAAATGAATTTTAATTGATCTCAATGGATAATGATTTGATGTGTTCATTGAATTTCCACAAAAAAATGAACGGTCTTATCTAGAAAGCTCAGTTTCGTTCAGGACTTGTGTAAATCTATCTACCACACTATAGAAATAATATAAAACCAAATAATAATTTCACAACAGAAACAGGGGAGGGGAAGGGTGGCACTTGCAATGACGAAGTGTAATAGAATTTAGAAGGCGCCAGTGTAGGGTCATCAGCCATACAAAACAAAATAGCATTCATTGCAAAATATGACTGTAGAGTGAGTGTAAAAGGGCCAGTCCAGTATCAGTGTAAAATCAAAACTCATATTACAAATGTCATCGGATATCCATACACAGTAAAATGTATTGGAAACTAGAATGTCTTGTATTGTGAAAGTTTATTAGGATTTCGAAAATTAATGGTTGGTAGATGTTACTGTATATAAATATCGTCTAAAAGCTTGCGTCTCAGTACAGTACTTTATCGTAAATCTCTTGTTCGTGTTCGGGGTTCAGCCTCAATTCTTTATAAGTTCAACTGAAAGGGGTTAGGCGCAGCTGCATAACGGGTGGGTGAATGTGACAGACAGACGTGGACCGATCGGTACAATGATGGAGGTTAATGTTGTTACTGTCAAAAACAAACCAACAGAACAACGGTTCAGGAAACGCACTAAAATCATTCAGAAAGTTCAGTAAGAGAAAAAAGAAAGTTAAAATAAAACGCAAATTGCACAAACTAAGGCACATCATGCAATCTATATTCTCTAAGGTGTGGCAAAGGAACTGATTTCATTTTTATTTATAAAATTACAAAACTCTACCTTTTTATTGACGATTGCAAACATTGTAAAAATTTTACAAATCAACAAATCCAAAACTTTGATATGACTCGTGTATCACTGCTAAGATGATGTCAATCATGTGAATGATATGTTCAAAATCTAAAAACTAATTTTGCTTTTTAAAATGTCCTCAATGCACACAGCCTTGCCACGCTCTATGAATTTTAACGTAAATACATTACACTAATAACCGAGGGGGTCGATTCAAAAGTACATAACAGATTACAAACAGTAAAGAGGGTCAACATTAAGAGTAAGAGATACAGTACAGATACAGAATACAGATGACGTGCAGGCAGGGAGGGACGGGCTCTACGCGACAACAGCCCCCCGCCACCAGCCGAGGAGCTGTCGACGCCGACACACCATCTCCAACTACGTACCACTCAACATTTAACTCTCCCACTAAGCGTACGGTAACATTCCTTTACGTATACGACTAACAGAACATAATCATGAAACCTATAATGACGAGCGATAACACTAGCCACTATCTGCTGTTCACTATTCAACTGAACTCAAATTCAAAGGTAATTTACAATCAATATCGACTCATAAAAACATTTGCGGGACTCGCGTCCCGCCAAAGATAAGTGAGAACACAGAAGCGTGCTAAGAGAGGAAAAGGAAGATATAGATTTCACAACACGGAACACATTCAACGGAACGGAGTGAAGACAGCGGCTCACCTGCGTCCCCGCTCATTCTTGAGGGTGCCGCCATACTTGGGTCTAGTGCCGATTAAGTCAATTATCTCTGGGATACAACTGGCAAATATCGCCTAAACGCCGACAGACAAAACAAGACATTCACATTCAAGTCGACCGGTGAGTCGCGAGAGGTGGCGGGAGGGAGTCGCCGGCCGCGCCGCGTCAGGGCGGGGGCCGGCGACTCGCTCTCGACAGCTCATCGGCGTGGCGCGGGCGCACGGGGCGTGCGGTCAGGGCGCCGGCCGGGGCGAGGGGCGACAGCGGCGCGGGCCGCGGCGGGCGCGCGGGCACTGGCTGTGTGTGATCGTCGGGACTCGTGGCGAGGTGCCGGAGCTAGCGCTACAGCGTGGCGACAGGCTTCGTGTGCAAGCGAACAAACCAAACACTACTTTCATCGACAGCATTACAAAACTTTACATCGGCTCTCTCCAGATCTAGTCTCGTTAGAAGGATTAAAAAGCTCAACGGTATCTCGAAAATTTACGAAAAAAGGCATGTAGTAGTGCGTCGGTCGACCGCGCGCCTGTCTCTCTAGTTCGGGGAGAGGGGCGCGGCCGCCGGGAGCTAACTCTTCGAGCATGCGCCACGGCACCGAGAGACCGATTCTAGTGAAGGATTAATAAATTTCATTAGCAAACTCCGCATTCAATCAACCAAGATCGAAACCGTGAGAGGTAGGAAGGCAGGAAGCCGCGTGGAGCGGGGGCGTGAGAGCAGGGTACCTGCGGCGGACGTCCTTGTTGTACCGGCCGCCGTATTTGTTCCGCTGCGCCGCCAGCTCCGTGATCTCGGGGATCCAGCTGGCGAACACAGCCTACGATACACAGCAAACACCGTGAGGTGAGCGACCGCCCCCCCGCGCGCCCGCCCCGCCCGGCCCGCGGCCGCGTACCCTCGCGCTCGCACAAGGCTGTGTGGCTTGAGTGTCGTCTGTCTGCGTGGTGCTGAGGTGTGGGTGTGCGGGACTTGGGTGCCGTGCCGAGCTACGCTAGCGGCGGGAGCGTGACCGGCGCAAGCCGTGACGGGACTCGTGACCGGGTGCATGCAAAGCCTAAGGATACATACGCTACTACTCGATGAACAGAACTTAAAAAGAAATCGGTTTCACCGGTTCCTAAACTAACGAGGGGCATTCGATATAGACGCTTGGTAGAGCGTGAACACGAGCAGGCCGGCGCGGTCTCCGGCCGAGCGCGCCCTCCCCCTGGCGCTACGAGGAAGGCCCGGCTCGGAAGCGCGAGGCGATCTGTAGCGCGAGGGCGAGCAGCCGCCCACCGGGGACCGCGGGGCCGGCAAGTGTACACGAGTAGATGACACAATACATCTGACGGCACTGAGCAAGCTTTCTTAGAGGTGATGATTCCACATCGCCCGCGAGAGCTCGGGCGATTCAGACCCAACACGGCGGAAGCGTACCGACCCGCGCGTGCCGCGAAGTGAATCGCCTTCACTTTCGGCGACCAATTTATATATCAAACTGATACCTTTTTCCATGTTCACGCTTCAGCTCGCCACTGTACTTGGACCTACTTCCTACCAGCTCTATAATTTCGGGAATGCTACTAGCGAACATTGCCTGCAACAGACCATGGTGTCGATCGAACATCGAGTCAGGCGCACGCGAACACCATCGCGTGGTGCACGACAATGTCCACCTCGAGTCTCGGTAAATCTATGGTGACGCAGTCTTAAGTGTAGCCGGTAGCGGAGCGAAATAAAAATAAAAGGAACGAGTGTGTGTCTACCGGTGATGTGAGCAACTGAACACAGCCAGGCACAGGTGCGGCATGCAGAGATCGCGAGGTGGGTGGGACGCGGCGCGGGATCGGCGCGCGGCGGGGCCCAGCAGAACGCCTCCACTCCGCGGGGGCTACTATACGTGGCTCGTGCCAGTCCCCCATTACTCCTACGAGCGAGCGCGGTAACGTCCTCCGGCAGCATCGCGTGAGTATCACATAACAAAGCAAAAGAAAAAGAAAATACATCCATGCAGTTAGATCGCGCGAAATGAAGCTGAGTGTTCGGCGATAGTCGAAAGAGTCCAATGAAGCGGCCGAGATAGAAGGCACAGGGCGACGCGGCCCCCGGGCGGTGCGCTCGGCGTCTCCCGAACGTATCATACATCTCATGCTCTAGACAGTGCACTAGTCAGGCTTACAACCATTAACGAGCTGTGCGATAATCCAGTACGCTTGTCTAACAAGTCCCATCAACTATATGTAAACATTTGATTAGAATGTCGGTATATTTCCTTTTGCTTTGTTATCAAATTAGCATTTATGCAAGGAATCGCAAGCGTGGCGATTGAACGTAGCTGATCACTACTTCGGCAAAAATCTATTCAGGAATTCTAACGCCTTTGGCATAGGAATTTAAATATCTTTAAAACTTGCCTCTCCTTGCAAAGATACGTTTAAACACCTGTCATCATAGTGACATAAAATACAGTTTTAGAAATTTAAATTAGAGATAAGTAGTGAATTAAAATGAAACTTACCAAGCCGACGAGGAGAAAAAAAACCAAAAAGGTTCTGCCTAGCACAGTGTGGCAGAACACATCACCGTAACCTACAGTGGACATGGTGACTATGAGAAAGTACACGCATGTCCAGTACGAGAGCTTCTGTGAGTTCTCGAATTCTAGCGGGTCGCCGGAATTTTCCAGCTGAAACACATCATTTCCACTCGTTACAATCAAAATTCAGCTTTATTGATATTTGAAAGTAAGGATCAAAAGTGGTTCGATATTTTCAAGAAGTACTTAATGTATGAATATTTGTGTCGTTTTCTTGGCAAAAATTTAATTCAAGTAGCTAAGGGACTGCTGCATAAATGATTCTTTCATATTTCAGAACAAGCAGGACATTTACGGTTTTTTTGTAAAATTAAAAATATCTAAAATTGTACAGTCGATGGCACATCAGTTGGTTAACATTTTTTTCAAAATAGTATCTATTACATACATAAGATGCAGGTATTATCTTGATGTGCTGTCGTCCGTTTTTATAAACTCACCAAATGAATAATGCCTGCCGCTGTCAACCATACTGATATAAATATCGAAACTAATTGCGCCAAACGAATTGAGCTCGATGTCTTTAATATATTGAGGTACTGCAAAATGTCAGGCACGGTCATTAAGCGCAGAGCTCTGAGAAACCTTAGCCCTGAAACAGATGAAGAACAACTTAAAAAGGGTAAAAATTAAGATGATGATGAAGAAGATACAACACCGATATCAGTTACAAAACATTGATTTAGTACGACAGATCATGACAACGATAATGCTACTAACATTGATACAACAATCAATATCCATGCAGTTTTGTCAAATCATAAACGAAAAGTAAAATAATTTAACACTGAGTCAATTTAGGTTATCATTTTACTTAAAGCATGCTGGAAACTTAATATTGTTTTAATTCAGTTGAACTATTATAGTGGTTATTTAATTTTACAAAACTACTGTCTATTTTGTTTTTGTTTGCGTTTAAATCAACAATGGTTTCTTTCAATTCAGTAATGTGATCTTTGTATGTTAATGAAAAGGTAATCAAACGTAATACTGAAAGAAAGAGAGAAAAATTGTTTATTGGTTACTGAATTATGTACGACTTCAACTTTTTTTGAGATCGGTCGAGTAGGGTCAATGTTAAGACAGTTTAGGTTAATAGTATAAAAATGAGGACTTTCTTACCTATCCACGTTCTATCCAGGTATATCGATACAAAGGATGGGGGTATCGTGAAATAATCTACAAATGAATACATCTCGAGCATGAACCATAGTTTGTCACTAGCTGCTATAAACTGCAACAAAGAGAAGACACATTATAATTAAGTGAACTTTTTAGACATAAGCAATAAACGGGCACAAATATTTCAAGATATTTTTTGTCCCAAGCAAGTGTGCTGCAGATCTTTTACGATCTTATAATGCAAAATTTCATAAATTCGAAATTTGGAGATACGAATAAGGAAAGTTAGTATTTGGTTTGTTATCTGCATTTGAGTTAACTGTCATAATATTTACATGGGGTCTTATAAAATGTGTAAAAATTTTGTAGACTTAGCGCTACCGCATTTTACGCAAAATGTATGGACATTGGAAATTCTTCAAAATGATATTGAAAGGTACTCAATCATTCGAAGTTTAGTGTGCGCTTATACTTGAAATTTGTTTGTACTGTCAACAGTCCTTGACTGTAATTATCTATTGCAAAATAGCGTCTATTATAACTCCGTAAGATACCACAGTCGTAAGCTTGATGTGCTCTCGTCCGACCACTTGTAGCATAAAGTGCGGTTGCGCTTAATCAGTTTCCCAAAACGGCTTCAGACTTACTCGTATAAAAAAGTAGACCATAAAAAATATGTTAAAGGCAAGGTCGATTTGCTGAGTAATATTGTCACTCCATTTCTGGCATCGCTCCACCTCTTCACTGGAAGTCGAGATACTTTAATCAGAACAAAATCACACATGAGTACAACAGTTAGGTGACACGGAAAAGCATCTAAGAAACAGTCGGGCTATGGAGGACTCAGTGGGATAAGATTTTAACCAGAAGAGAAAAATATTAAAACGTTTGAAAATCTTAATAACTTGAAAAAATCAAACTGGCTAAGGCGGGAATTGAACCCACGATTTGAATTGAATTATATCGGGAATTTGCATTTTGGAACGGGCAACTTTGAGATAATTTGTTTGACTGAAAATCAAATGTGTAAAAAGGTAATAAACATTCATATAGCTATCTACAAACAGACAGAGACAGACAGGGTGCAAAGTGCAATTTATTATTCTGGGTATTCTTATATATTTTTTATTTAGGGTTTTATTTATGTGACACGATGGTAGGTACGAAAGAATATAGCGTGAAAATACATCCAGATTTATTTACCATGTCAATTTTATACTAAAACACCGATTTAGTTTCTATTTTAGTGAGAGCTCACTAAATTAGAATCCAGCCAATTAAAATTTCATCTAATGACGTCTAAATGATGGTATATTTATAGCAACATGTGTCCACGGAAATGTTAATAACTTCCGTGGACATTCAGGGATAGAATATACAGAACAGAATAATAAAATAGGATAGAATACGTACATTAAGCTAACTTTGGATTTGTACACAGGTCTACAAGTTACCTCAAAGTTGCAAGAAACTGAGTCAACCCCAGCCCACAATGTACAGCTGAAAATAACATGAAGCACAACACAGATCTATCCAGCAAATAGTCGGATCACATTTATTTGTGTGGCACTCACATATTCCTTATGATTTCAGCGTTTACAAGATATATGAATTAATATTGTAGCGGCGAATTAAAACAATTTACAGAGGTTCAATAAAGATAGTTACCTTGATGCGTCAATGAAGTAAATGATGAGCGATGCTATACTCAGGATGAACACCAACACTACCTGGAAATTGAGAAAAAGCCTGGTTTAAAAGATATTCTGATATACTTATTTAGTCGAAGATTATTTTCTAGAGAACTCGCCACAAATCATAAACTAGTCCAAAATTATTGTGATTGTGATACAATGGGCCATTAAAATGTTTAAGATCAATGAAGTTATAGTGTTCCATTTGAATGCGAAGCATGGAGAATTCCATAAAGACACAGGAAACCTTCCAAGTGTCGAATTTTAATTACAGAATTTGCATATATGTGATATCGTACATATTCATAATCGTGCAGAGCGAATAAGTATGAATCATAAAGATCATGAAGGTCGGGAAGCTTTGCGGTGATGTCATCTAGTGATTGAATGTCTGACACATTGAATTAATTTTAAGAGGTGTTAGTTACATTTGCACGAGTATTTTTCAAGGAATTGCTATCAATTTATTTTATAACGAAGTTTATGGTAGATCCTAATTACTTTTCCATCAACAGAATCAGGAATACGGCACAGAATTTGACATAGCGTTTATGAGTCTCGTTAGATCTTAAAAGTCTTTTAGTTCTTCCTGCTTCACAAGAAACTCAATTACAAACAAATTGGGGCCAAAGAGGTTTGTATACCCACCCGGCAGAGCACCGAGAATGTAAGACGTTCGCCCCACTGAGAGTGAAACGCAATTACTAAGGAAAAGACAATATGGATCCCAGGAATCTTGTAGAGGACTGAATTAAATTCTTATTTTCCCCAGTGCATTATTCAAGTAAAAAGAAATAAGAATTCCGCATCCAAGAGGAATATTCTAAACTGCTTCATGGTTTATTGGATCAAGGGTTCTGAGCTGTGAAAAGTAAGTTTGGAATTGCAACAACTTACGACTCAACTGGTTTCAACTTGGACTCCTGCCAATAATAACTTAAAGGCGGTAACTGAAGACCTTTTTATGGCAAAAGACGTCTGCGTTTTTAACGAAACTTTAGAGCCAACAAGTGAAGTGGTATAACAGAATGGAAAGAGTGGGGGCATAATATTGTTATTATTCTAGACAAAGAACATTGCAACTTCATCCATATGGAATGGGGCAATTTTGTTGGGAAATGTGAGAAATCAAAATGCAGTTTCTGCTGATCTTAAAGAAACTACTTTTGATGTTTACTTGTTAAGTACTCTTTTTGTAACTTGGTTGAATATCTTTGTAAAAGAAAATTTCGTCAATAACACAGACTTCGAAGCGAACGTCCTCGAAGTAAGTGAGAAAAACAGAATAGTTTTTAGTAAGAGTACTCAGAATCTCATTTACGAAAGTGCTCTACGAAGAAAAACAATATTAAAAGTTTGTGGTGATTTATTTGTAGTTTAGGTTGTTTTCGCGTGTCTGTTATGACAAGATGTAAATTAAGTTAGAGTGTTAACAAGTTAATTAAAGTTTGTGACATTTAATCAACTTTTCAATTTGTAAATTAATATTCTACGAAAAAGGATCATAATAATTCGCGTCTGTTCTATAAGAAATTGGCACACTACTTTAGATATATTCGTATGCTATGCATTGTTTGAAACTAAGGTCGCGTTTACGCTTTCAAATTAATGTGTCTTTAAGGCACCATGAGCCAGTCACGCGACTCCCAATGGAGCCTTAATGCGTGCCAGACACGGCTTTACCGAAACCCCATTCCAACCAACACTCCCAGCAAGTCAGAAGAAAAAATTCTACGTTACATTATTAGATTATTGCCCTAGTGCACGCAGAGGCTAACGGGATTACATTCACAGTGGTTGATATCCAATTAGGCTTCACACTACTATTTTTTAATTCTCTGCCCTTGCAAGGCTGTCCCCTTGACTTATACCGAGGCAACTCCTAATCTTCGTAAGACTGGTAAGACCATCAACATCAACAAACTGTAAAGAATGAAGATACGGATTTTCCCCGGCAAATGGGTATCCGATCGAAGTCAGAAAGAGGCAGAAGCCACAATAATGACTATTGAGGGCAAGTCGAGATTGCGTGGTTGACCTAAAAAGAGTCCACAATACTTATCTATACGATTGAGATTTAACATATCTCGCTACGTTGGCTGTGTTGGATTTAATCTGACACAGATCTTTTTTCTAGGAGTGTTCAGGATTATATGGTAAATTTTTCCCTCTTAGGGTTTACCCACAAAGTTTAAGTTGTTTAAGGTTTGCTCATCACTATTATGGAAATAATATTTACTTAACCTTTTGGAGAAAAATTATTCACTATGAAGTTAAAAGCCTATACAATAAACTAGGTATTTCTAGTGTAGTATAATAGTATAATCGTTTTTCAGCTATTTCTACTTGGGTTTACTTATTCAATTTTTTCTGCAATAACTTGTTCATCGTAGGTATACCTACTTTTCTACGGTATTCTAGTGCCTTATAATATTTTAACATGTTACGCTAATGCCATGTGGCAGTAACACGATCACTCTGCCGTGGATTTATTAGTATCATTTGGGTTTCAGCTTTCGTTGTCAGTAAGCTATTTATGGATGATGTTCTATGACTACAAATAAATCAGTCTTTCCGCTTTTATTTGCTCGTGCTTTATGTGTATTTACGACTATATTTCTTATGAAGTTTACTGGGTGGTTCACATTCTGACCTACTTTAGTAGTCACGGAATTAAGGAATTCTTATACTTGTTACTTGTCCATTAATAGGGCATTGCCCGAAAATAGTAAAAAGCTATAGCGAGCACTTACTTGGGCTTGCTTGGTTAATTATTAGTTTAATTACAACACATCATTCTGTAGTAAGTAGGTAGGTATTGGTACTTATTATAACCATGGGTCATAGACATTGAGTACTATGTAGATCGATATCCATCTTTAGGGGCACTTACTGGAAAAGCTGTAAGAGTGATTGTGAGAGTGATCATGTCAAAAATCTACACTGAAGCTTTTCGAGTTTATATTTATCGTATCTATAGTATAATACGATAGTTTAGCCGATTCTAAAATCTCTAGGGATTCAAGACTGTCTAGACTTACTTTCACATAGTGACAAACAAATAGCACAAGAAGGAAATCAATCGAGGATGTTTTGTCACCTCAGTGACGTCATGTGACCCATTGTTTCTATCGATTAACAACTAGGCAAAGAAGACTAGCCTTGCCGAACGAATGAAAAAGTAGCGCAAAGCCAAACGAGCAAAATGTAGTAGCAGAATTAGGTTTTTTTACTCGTAAAAGCCAATCTACAAAAGGTCATTTGCCCAGATTTTGACCCATCAGCCCTTTGTCCCGATTGGTATTAAAAAAGGTGGGCTTGTTAGCGTCAACTAACCAATCACTTGACAGATCAAAGCTCTGTTTATAAATGCGGCCCGCTCTCTCGAAAACGATCGCATCGATAGTGAAGCTTGTGTGTCGATGCTTTCTACTACATTATGTATATCATAAAGTTGAATATAATTACTGTACCTAAAGTAGGTACTTATTATTCTATCATGTTGGATGTAGGATCGTTTTGTAAGGTTCTGAAAATGAAAAGAGACTAACACAGGGAGGTCCGTAGCCACTACGTAAACCGGAGCTGGCATGAATGATCTAACTCCTTGCCATCAGATATGTTGAAGCGCTAAGCAATCATATTATTATTATGGTAAATAACATTGTTCTACCTACTGTATCTTCACGCACTTTTTCAGTCACAAAATTACGTGGCAACGCCTGCAAGTAGTTGTCGACGTAAGGTAAACTCCGCCAATTTGGTTTAATATTGCTGATGTCTTTACCTTTTTCATTTATAAGCTCTATCGCTATTGACTAACCCTGTCGATACCACTGATTGAAAACACAACGTTCATCGATTGCTGGGCAACACTAGCCCCAATTATGCGACAGGCTAATTTGTTCCGTTTGATGTCGCCCATCGCTGGATATTTATTTCATGTCCCAGTTTGCGGGATAACGAATTGTGTCTCTTGTTTCCTGGACTTGATACCCTGTTTTCCGATAGAATGCTTCTGATTGATATTTAAAAACAATTTAAAAGATAAATCCAGATTAAAATAAATAAGGTATTGCATTGCCTACGACGTGTCAGAAATGTCTCTTTTCAAAATATAAAGAAATAGCAGTCCCGACAAATGTTGTCCTGAGGAAAAGTTAATAAATACCTCTTACTTATGGTCGTTAAGTTTTCAATCTCTTAATTTTCATTTAAAAAGAGAAATTTAAAAAGGGCATGTTTTCAATATAAGTTTATGGAAGATTTACTGAAATGGTCATGGGCCGCAGTTTCATACTGGGGATCTGTTGCATATCAATAATTAAGGTCATCACGGACTACTTATTCTACAAATATTAATATTAACAAGCAATAAAAGTCAAACAATGGATTGACCATTGTAATCGTTCATTCCGCTTAACTGACCCGTCCGATATTTGCACAAGGAATTACAATAGTTATCGTAAAATATGGCCGCAACAAAACGAGTAAATATTAATGATTCGTTGAGCAATTAAATAAATACGCATTTTCGCTTCGGAGGGTTTACGGCGGGATTCCACCATTCGGTTTTATTAGGGCTGCGTTTGGGAAATCGGTAAAAGGACAAAAATCGTGCTTCGAACTCGAATGTTAGGGGTCCGTATAACTGGAACGATTGTGAAAATGATTGCTCGATTTAAACTGAAGCGTCTCAGGTTGGATAAATGTTTAAATTTAGACGAATCACATGTTGAAATGGGAACTATTATTTAAAATTATTACGAACTAACGTTTATTTTAATCCATTAACACGCTCACTGCGTTATGAGGTCTAAAAAGCCACATGCAGAACTTATCGCAGGTGCGGCAGTCATAATCGCGTTCTCTCACTCTGTGCGGGGGGCGACTATTTTAACATTTCTATGAGTACAACAGAGACAAATATATCAAATTGCTTCTCTTACGAAGCCTAGCATAATGACGTAGACAATATTGTATGAGGTCGATTAGGTCCCATACGCACTGGATAGAAATTAATCACGTTCAGTGCG